TCCTACTGTAACAAGACAACTTTAATTAGGCAAAGCAAGTTACCTCTTATTTCTTGTTAGCAAAGATATTTTATCATGAATGAATGTTAATTTCTATAATTTTTACCCTGTATCCATTGAAATGATGATTAAAATAACAACCTGGTGATATGATGAATCTCATTGATTTTAGTATATTGAACCAACCTTGCATTCTTAGAATAAACCTGGCTTGCTTGTGATTTTTTTTGACATATTAGATTCAATTTGCTAATATTTTGTGTTTTTTTTGTCTATGTTTATGAGAGTTATTAGTCTGTAGTTCTCTATTCTTATACTGTCTTTGTTGTTTGGCATCGGGTAATGCTGACCTCATCAAATGAGTTGGAAGAGTGTTCTCTGTTCTATTTCCTAACATTGTTTAGAGTTGGTATAATTTTTTCCTTAAAGGTTGGTCGAATTTGCCAGGGAAGCCACTGGGCATGGTATTTTCTTTACAGGAAATTTTTTGAACCACAAAGTCAATGTACTTAAAGATATAAAACAATTCAGATTTATTCTACTTGAAGGAGTTTTGGTAATTTGTGCCTTTTGAGGAATTTATTTCATCTAGGTTATCAAAGGTATTAATGAAGTTGTTATTTACTTTTATTATCCATTTAATATATGTCGGCCTTAGTGATTGATGTCCGCTCTTTCATTCTTAATCTTGGTAATTTGTATCTTCTTACTTTTTTCTCATTTAGTCTGGCCAGACGTTTATTGATTTTTGTAATCTTTGCAAAGAACCAGCTTTTGAGTATTCTGACTTTCTTTACTGTTTTTCTGTTTTCAACTTCCTTGGTTTATTTTCTTATTATTTCTTTTCTTCTTGCTTAGAGTTTAATTTGTTTTCTTAAGACACATTATTGATTCAAAACTTTCTAGCTGCATCTCAGGAATGTTATTTTCATTTTCATTTAATTAAAAACATTTAAATAATTTCCCTGTGACTGACTCTTTGACCCATCATTTAGAAATATGTTTAATTTCTAAAAATTTGGGATTTTCTAGATATCATTCTGTTATTGATTTCTAGTTTAATTTGTTTGTAGGCAAGAGATATTTTGTCTAACTTGAATACTTTTAAATTTACTGATTTTTTTTTAAATATAACACAATGTGGTCTATTTTAGCAAATGTGTGTGCACCTGAAAATAATTTGTTTTCTGCTCTCGTCCAATAGGTTGTTTTTCCTGTTTTCTTAAATGGCTCTTATTTGAAAACAAAACTTTACAAAAAGAAGGAATATCACATAAGGTTGCATTCAGAAATCTGAAAAAGTTCTCCATATGAACTTAATGAAATACCTGTACACATAATCAATAACAACGTAAGAGATTAGGCACTATCAAATGAAAGCAGATAATGAATAAGTTACCTCTTCACATGGTTACCTCTCAATATGTTCCCAGTAGGATCCAATAACCCATTCTCTACACTCCAGTCACACTGGACTTATTTTAGTTCTTCCAAGTAACCATGTTTTTTTTTCTGCATCAGGATTTACTGCATATAATCTCTATCTTGACAATATAATCTCTATCTTTCCGTTAAGTTCTCTTCAACTTTCAGACTTGACCTTGAATTCACTTTCTTCAGAAAGTCTTTTTGACATTCCCTCCAAGGATTATGTCCTCCTTGTTAAGGATCAGTGGTTTGCACTTTCATGACAGTCTGTTCCTCTCTTTCACAGAACTTATGATTATAATGAAAACTATGAGGACAGATTATATTGTATTATCAAAGATGTTATGAATTCTCAAACGATTCAGAATCCCCTACTCAAGAAAGTCAGCAGAATGAGACATGGATTGGCCAACTAAACTCACTTACCTAAAATCTGATTTTTAATGGATATAATTTTTCCTGTGAAGACTATTCTGAAAGTAGAATTATACCTTCAGAAGAATATTGATTGTATGAGTGTTCCATATCAATATCTAATACATCCAGGTGACTAATATGTATAAAATATTACAGGGTACACATAAAACCAACCAAAATGAGAAATCCCATTTTTATGCCTTCTATAGGTCCAGGCAAATATTAATAGATAAGGTGTCTACTTCTCTAAGGCATTCCTTGCTTAAGAAAATAAAAACCATATATAAAGAGTAAGTTAGGCTTGAATAACTTTTCTTTTCCAAATTAAATAAAAAATTTAAGGCTTTAGAATCCAAGTTTCTTGTAAATTTTAGGCAAAAAAATCAATAAATGAAGGAAGTGAGAGGAAAATCTTTGCCTTTCATGTACATTTGAAACCTTCATTTAAATTAAATAGCACTTGATGATATTAGGAGTTATCACTTACAGAAAAATATACAGAGCTTTCCTGGCCATGGAATCAGAAGAGCTGTCTTCCTCATGCCTCTCAGGCTCACTTTGTAAATTATGTGAAACACTTTTAGACAGACACTGGCACTCATAAATTATACAGTTCATTTGCATATTCCAGTCATGAGACATTATGCAAAGTGACATGATTTGCATAATGGATTCCTCTTGTCGCTTCACTTGCTGCGTGCTTTTAAAAAACAAAATGAAATAAAATGAAAGCATGAAAAGGTGAAAGCATCAAGTCCCTAGCCTTGCCTGTCTTCTTCCCAACTACAGTATCAATTGCTTTCATTTTCTACAGAGGATTGGGGGAAAGGGGCAGAAAGCAAAGATACACAGACATATAAACAAAGAGCTTTCAAATGAATTTTGTTCTTAATTACAATGTACCTACTTTCTCAATGAAATCCTTCACCATAAATAACCCTTTTGAGCCAGAGACATCAAAACAAAACAAAACACTGAGACAAGAAAAACTTTATAGAACTTTTCCTTGAAAAACAAATAAACTTCTATGTCTGTAATTTTTAGGGAAAGGTTAAGCCTTTCTGTTTGTAACTAAAAAATAAAAATAAAAAATGTTTTAAGGCACTAGCTATTTCCTATCATTGGGGGAAAAAATATTGGTAGAAGGATTTTTTCCCCCTCTAGGTGATCTTCTGAATAGTTTTCCTATTTTGAAAGAGGGAGAAGAAAAATAGCGTTGTGTTTTTGATTATTTAACAAAATATATAATGGCTACATATATTGTAAAGGATGAGGCAGTGCTACGTCGACTTCTATCGGCTCTACTCCAATAAGCAGGCAACGCTCCCTCAGCAGTTGCTAGCTTTGCTGCGGGCTTTCCCTGCTCCTCTGCACCAGTGCGAAAAGCAGAGTGTGCCAAGCGGCTGGCGTCTGTACCCTGTGGGAAAAGTTAACTGTAATTCTTCGGCTTTTAAAATCAATTAACCCGTGTGTTAATTAACGTCAAGTCGACGGGAGGAGGAGGAGAAGAAGAAGGGGAGGGAGGGAGAAAAGAAAAAAGCTGCAAGGGCGGATGGCAGAAGAGTTGGCACGGTGCCATCCATTCAGGGGCAACGCCACAGTTTCGTGCGATAGCAGCAGCGGGTATATGTTACGGGCCCCTGTATGCGGGGCAGACAGTGCGGTAAAGCCAAGGGAGATTATCCAGACCCCCAGGAGCGAACAGCAAGCAGCAACCGAAGGCGCAAGTGCCAGGATTACAGCCTAGGCTGCTCCAACTATGAGCCCTTCCTCGGACCCTGGGACTCGACTACTTGGGGTTTGGGGGTCTTCCACACCACAGAGGCACAAAGCTGACTCTAATCACTGTTTTTCCTTTAAACTTGATTCTGCCGCAGTGGAGCCAGCACAGCGGATGTTTTCACACCCAGCAAGACAAAGGCCGTCGTCTCCGCCATGACACTGTTCTGTTCCAAGCAGAGGCCGGGATTCTGGACTCCTCGAAAAATCAAAAAGAAACAAGGAAAACAAACAACAAATACAGCAACAAACAGAAAAAACTGAAAACCTCCAAAATCGTTTGCCCGTTTGCCCGTGCCAGGGGTGATCTAGGCATCTGTTGCAGCAGAAGGCGCTTATGTGGGGCAATTTTTTTTCAGGGGGGCAAGCTGTTGGCATGTTTGCTATTCAACTTCGTTTATAATTAACTTTAAAAAACCCACCATTCAGCCTAGTCAACAACAAACAAAGAAAAAGCAGCCATCGGAAGAGAAATGCCACAGGAAGCGGCATGAATGCATGCCACAGCCGGTGCCAGTTGCCACTCGCCACTCGGAAAACCTCAGGGAAAGATGCCAATGCTACAGCTGCGAAGAAGGCAGAGAAGGGAGCATAAAGGTCTACGACTAGAAATCATAAAGAAAGAATACTGCTTGTACAATTCTGGATTGCAATTGAACACAGCCTCTGCCGGGAGAAGAGAGGGAATATTTAAATGGAGATATAGATGGGTATAAATTAAAAGATAGGCACCTATCCATTGCATATACACACATGTGTGAGGTTGTATGTGTATATAAATACACATATTTTAAGACAACGTTTAGATATGTATATATTTTGTACTATAATTATGGGTATGTATATAGGTGTGTATGTTCAGGCATATACACATATGTAGGATGTATGCATGTGTGAGAAAAAGGAGGAAGACAGAGGAGAGAGAAGGAAATATGTGTATGTGCATGTATGTGTATGCATACATCCCACTTTTTGACCCAGGTATACACAGAAGACAAAATAAAAATCATACTCCAGCAGCAAGCAGGCAGCCAGAGATTTATCTACATTCACTGCTATCACCAGGGAGATGAATGGGGCCGATCTGAAGCCCTTTTACAAGATCCACTATGGGAGTGAAGGAGGAGGAGGGATGCCACACAGACATGCACAAACTTGAAGGCAGAGGGATTTGGAAGGGGCTACTGAGGAAACACTGGTGGCATAACGCAGGGGAGAAGAAGGGAAAAGAGGATTGTCTTTCTCTCTCTCTAGGTTTTAGATGGTTGTTTTTAAAAAATCTGCAAAAGGGTTTCAGGGAACAGCTGGTACTTACGTTGTCTGCGTTGCTGTGGATCCTGAAAGGTGTTCTGTTGGCACCGGGCGCTGAGCCAGGGGCAGGCGCTGGAAACAAAAGGGAGAGACAAAAAAATAAAGTCATTCAATGGGAATATTAATTGCTGCTCTTGTGGATTTTACAAAACACACAAACTGTTTTCTTTTTCTTTCTTTAAAAAAAAATGTGGATTGGCACGTGTCCCTTTTGCATGGAATATACAAGTAGTGTGGGATTTACAGCCCAGTTACGGGACTCAGGATTAGCTGCGCTGGCATCTTTTGGGCATATTCTTCCTTTTAATGAATGAGCTTTTGCTGTTAATGAGGAATAATCGTTTGGCTAATGAGCTTTGAAACATTAAGAGAAAAGAGGTTTTTTTTTTTCCGTTAATCGCTCTGGTGCGACTGCATGGATGGATTACAAAAGACAGCAATAGGAACGCAGTACAAAGGGGGGGAAACCTCTCCTGGAGTGGGAGAAGCACCGAGATGGGTGATGTGTCCGTGCATCTTTCCTTCCTTCTCTCTTTCACTCTCTCTGTCAACTGCTATGGGTTTCCATAACTCCGCAATCAAAGTGGATGGTCGGGAAGGATTATTACAAAGAGAGAAGCCTCCGCTGTTAATGTCTCCAGTGTTTAATCATCATACAGTAGAATGGTTTTATGCATATTTCATTTGCATATCATTAAACTGTGTTAGCGAGGGGCATTCAGAGCCAGGAGAAGTACAAAGTTGGGGAGAGAGGGAAGAAAAAAAGGTCCCTATGATGCTTATCTTCAAACAGGGACTTGTTCCATGATCTGTCTTCTACTTTTGCTAAAATCATTATGACTTGGAAACCTTTGGAGTTGGATACAACCTTGGATTCTTCTAATTCTTGCCGAGCAGTATATTTTAAAAAACAGCAGAAATGTTCCTGCACTAGACAATTAAAGGAATATAAACTCCAGTGGGTTGAAACTAGTAGCTCTTTGGGGAACGCAGTGGCAGAGGCTTCTACAAATATCAACACTTAAAAACATATAATAAAGAGCATCATATTAGAAACAAAGAAAATGAAGACAAGAAATATTAACAAGTGGATTATATTTGTTTCTTTTGGGGGGTAATGAGCTAAAGAGAATGAAGAAGCCATCGGTAATTTATCCCTTCATTAATGAACAGTCACCTTTTTGTATGTGTTTGTTTTTGTCCTTTCTTTTTGAAGAGGGACGTTATCACTTTTGAAGTGATTAGTCAATTATTTTGTAGCTCTGATCTTTTTCCCCTGCACCCGACAGGAAAGAAAGGTGGTGGTTAGGGAATATGTGAGTATGGGGGGGGGGATTTGGGGAGGGGGGCGAGAAAGAATACAGTGAGTTCTTTGTAGATCTTATACATGCACAACATATTAATTGTGGGCTTTTAAAGCTCCCTCAATGGGCTATTGCATTCCTGGTATAACAGTAGCTGGTTAGCCACTGTTGGTGACTCTTCTAGCATTACTTTATTTTTATTCTGTCGCTATTGTTGCTGTCTTGTTTAGTTTCTCCTCAGTTAAAAATGAAAATGTAATATCACCCCTTCTTTATTGAGTCTCTTCTCTATCTTCATCTTCACTCCAATTTCCAAACTGTAAAACAATGTTGGCTTAATATTGAATCCTGCTGCATATTCTAACTGGCATAACTTGATTTGGAAATGAGATGCTGTTTTATATTTAAATTACTCCTGTTCCCCCCTTATCCTCCAAAGCTTTGTCTCTGCTATGAATATGCAGATGAGGCATGATGTGATTACACTGTACAATTACTCCTATCCATGGTGGTGGCAGGGGCTGCTAGGGAGACAGAGAGTCATTCAGCCTCCAAGCCAATACGGAGTTTTGTTTTCGGTATTTTTCCTATCTTCTTGGCACTGCGGCACATGCAGATGTCGCTGTTGTTCTTTATAAAGCCCTAATGATATGCAAAAGCATAACGATTTGGTTTGGATGCAAAGCATCAACGAAATATTATGGATGTCTTTAAGAAAGGGGGAGAGAAAATCCTGACTGAAGGAATGTCCACATAAATTATTTTTATTTCAATGTATTCAAAGGATGGGGTGAGGGCAAGTCAGACAGACGGAGTCGCATGGAAAACATGCATAATATTAATATGCACAAAGAATTCTCACCGAGGAAGAGAAGCTCCTAACTACAGCTCTTGGGACAAACTGGTTCGTTAGGAAATAGCTTAGAGCAACTACAGCATTTTGCGATTTCAATTTTTTCCTCTTATTTTAAATGAAGAATCAGACAGATGTGTTTTCTTTGCATGGCAGCATTGAGATGGATCCAGTCTGCAAAATTTGCTGCCCAAATAGCATTTCTGATGGAAACTGGAACTAAACAAGGGCACAGATAAGGAAGGGAGGGGAGAAGAGAGAATACATGAAGAGTATATTCAGAGCCACTGCATGACATTTTTAGTACAGGTTTTCAGAATCCATCTTTGCTTCAGTAGTCTCCCTTGTGGACTCCTGATATAGGGAGCTATCAGGGTATATCAAGATGAGCACTGAAACAGGCCTTCCTAGGTCTGAGGCTAAGGAAAGCAGCAGCAACTTGGTGCCTGTCCCCCAGACCTGCCTACAGTTCAGAAGCCAAAAGCACAGCTACATCTAATTTGGGGATGCAGTAGAGTGCCTACTGATCCAGGTATTTGTGAAAGATGGAATTCTTGGCGCTAGTATACATTGCTAAAGAGCAGATGAAACTGGCTGCTTAAGGAGGCCTGGTAATATTTATGTTGGTTAATTCTCATGATAATGATAACCGCAGTTGTCTAGTATTTTCAGAATGTTAAAATTACCAGTGTGGGTTAACACATGTTTACAATGAATAGAGAGGGACAAATAGTGAATGAACCTATTGGGTGGATTCTAAACTGATAAAATATTTGAACTATTACTCATGGCCTCCAAGGATTAACAAAGAAAGTCAAATAAAGAAGCAGTAGTCAGAAAAAAAAAAAGATTTTGTTACTTCCCTTGGTCAGGTGGACAGAGTTCAAATTACTTTCATAATTCAGCTAAAAGAATTTTATACTTCCGTTTAAATTACATGAAGACATTTTTTATCTGATATGTATATCTGCATAAATTTCTATTTGATATCATAATGTTGACCTGTAACTGGTCTGATTATAAGCATGTTCTAAATTCTGTTACTCCTCACCTATAACTTCTAAAACTTCCACCTATAAGTCTCTTTTAACACTCTCCCTCCAACTATTTTCAACGGTTACACAATTCTCAACTGTTGGTACAGAGTACAGTGAATTAATGATTATTTGGAGAATGGCTATTTAATCTGAATTATTCAGATCTTTAACCTCTTCAACTTTCCATCTCTGTTGCCAGAATTATGCCTATTGAATTTTGAAAGAATACGTGTAAAAAATTTAGCACAGTATCTGCACATAATAAGCTCTAAATAAGTGTTAGATTTTATGACTGCTATCATTATTATTACTATTTCAGTGTGTTGGTTACCATTTGAGAGAAATAAGGAAAAGAAAAGAACATTCAGTCTTTACTTTTACTATTAAATAGCAATGCAGGTAAAAGGCTGAGTGGAAAAGCATTAAACAGATATCCATGGTGAATAGACTGTGAATGATCTGTAATCAGAAGTCAAACTACAGCTTATGCCAATGCGTAATAGATCCATGAAAGCGTTCCATTAAAAATGTATGTATAATTCTGAAATTTTCATGTGGCATGACACTGATAGTCTGATAAGAGAGTTCTATCATTGGTTGGTATAGGGGGTTTTGGGAAATGAAAGGTGCTCATTATTTAACTACAATGATGAAGCAATGCCAACTTTCAGCCTTTTTTTAAAAAAATAAGTTATATTTTTGAATAAGTAATACATTACAATGAACTATCAATAATTTAAATAATGTAGAAAGGAAAAGGTCTCTGTCTTTCCTCTCTTCAATCTATGAGTTCCTCATTCCACCCCCAAATAAGTAATCACTGTTACTGTTTTCTTGTTCATTCTACCAGCTATTAGTATATTAATAAGATATTAACATAGTTTATCTCCTATATCATACACCAGTGATACTTTTTACAGATTCCTTAGAATTTTCTGTCAACACAATAAGTTCATTTGTGACTAGACAGCTTCATTGCTAGTAATCATGCCAATTATTCCTTTTTTCTTATCTCGTTGGTGAGGACATCTAGTACAGTGTTGAATAGTAGTGATTGGTGAGTGTAAACACCCTTACCTTGTTTCCAATCTTAGGGATGTCACCATCTTAGGAGAGGAAGAATTTAGGCTTTTGTCACTAAGAATTATGCCCTTTATCATGTGAAAGAGGTTTCCTTCCATTCTTAGCTACTAGTAATTTTTTTTAAAATCATGAATGGTTATTAAACTTTGTCAAATCATTTTCAGCCTCTACTGAAACAAATAACAGCTTAAAGCTATGAGCACAGGGAATTACAATGACTGATTTTCATATGTTAAACCAACCTGGCAATCCTGGAACAATCCCCCATTGATCATGATATATAAATCTTTTTATATATTGCAATCATTGACTTGCTAACATTTTGTTAAGAATTTTTTGAATCCATGGGCATGAGAGACATTAGTCTGTAATTTTTTTGGGGTATAATAACTTTGACATTGTTATCAGGGTCTTGCTAATATCACAGAATCAGTTGGAGAGTGTCTCTCTCCTCTAGAACTCTGAAAAAGTTTGCATAAGACTATTACTTTGTCATTAAATGTTAAATAGAATTAAACAGTGAAGCTATGAGGCCTGGGGATTTCTTTGTGGACAATTTTAAAATTACAAATTCAATTTTTTTTTTTCAGACAGAGTCTTACTCTGTCACCCAGGCTAGAGTGCAGTGGCGTGATCTCAGCTCACTGCAGCATCAACTTCCAGGGCTCAAGTGATCTTCCCACCTCAGCCTCCTGAGTAGCTGGGAATACAAGTGTATGCCACCACATCTGGCTAATTTGTTTTTATTTTTATTTTTTTGTAGAGACAGGGTCTCACTTTGTTGCCCAGACTGGTCTTGAAGTCCTTGCCTCAAGGGATCCTCCTGTGTCAGCCTCCCAAAATGCGAGAGGTGTTACAGGTGTGAGGCACTGTGCCAGGACTGCAAATTCAATTTTAGAAAAATCATCTTGGACTATTCAGATTTGTAATTTCTTGTGTCAATTTTGGTAAGCTGGGGTTTTCAAGGAATTTGGCCACTCATCTCAGTTATCAAATTGACTGGAATAAAGTAGTTAGTAATATCCTATTATTCTTTTTCTTATCTGTCAGAATTTTGGTGATGTCCTTATTTCATTTGTGATATTGGTGATTTGTGTTATTTTTTCTGGATCTTTTAAAAATCAATTTTATTAATCTATTCAGAGAATCAAGCTGATTGTTATTTTTTTTTCAACTCCCAATTTTATAATTTCCTTTCTTCTATTTACTTTGGGTTTAATTTTCTTCTTTTTTTCTAGATTCATATGGCAGAATCTTAGATACTTTTACACTTTACATCCTATCACAAATGTATAAAGTTATATATTTTCCTCTAACAAATGCTTTAGCTGCATCACACATGTTTTCATAGGATGTGTATTCGTTCCCATTTAGCTGAGATTAAAAATATTTCCCTTGCCATTTTTTTTACAAGTGTTAAATATATTGTTTAAATTTCTAAATCTTTGGTAATTTTCTAGGTATTTTATTACTATAAATTTTCAACTTAAAACCACTATGTTCAGAGAAATTATATGTAATTTCAACTCAAGACTTATATGCCCCAACATGTAGTGTATCTTTTTGAAATTCCATGTGCATTTGAGAATAATCCACTGTTGTTCTGCTGTTGTTGATTTTCTCAGTTAAACATTTGATTTCCATTCAGTTAATTTTTGTTCTTATTATTTTTTGCCTTCTACTTTCTTTGAGCGTCATTTTACATTTTGTTTCTAATTTCTTGATGAGATATTTGTGTCATAATTTCAGCCTCTTTTTCTTTTTAAACATGCATTTAAAGGTTATATATTTTCCTCCAGGAACACCTTTAGATACAACTTCTAGGTTTTCACATGTCATATTTTCATTATCATTTGGTTCAAAATACTTTTTAATTTATACCATAAATTTCTCTTTCACCTATAGGCCATTTAGAAGTGTATGGCTTAAATGCCAAATATTTAGTGATTCACAAAAGTTTCAGTTATTTTATTGTTACTGATTTCTAGTATTTTTGTTACTGCTGTCTTGATCTCTATGGTCACAGTCTACTCTGAATGATTTCAAATCTTTCCACTGTTTTTGACACTTGCTTTATGCTAATTTTCATAAATATTCCACTTGAGAACAATGTTATCTTGTCATTGTAAGGTGCAGTGTCCTACATATATCTAAGTTGTATCCGATAACTATGTTATTCAGTTTATGCATATTCTTAATGATTTTTGTTCTCACGTATTTTTCTACTAGTTACTAAATGAGGTGTGTTAAAGTCTTACAGCATATTGTGAGTTTGTGTACATATTTATTTTTAATTTTGTGAATTTCTGCTTTTATATGTTTTGTGGCTATATTAAGTAAACCATACATTAATATTTATTATATAATTCTATTGTATTAATACTTTAATAATTATGCCTTATACATCTTTATCCCTTACCTTAAAGTCTACTTTGTTTAATATTAATATACTTGTTCTAATTAGATTTTGGTATAGATAGATTTTCTATCACGTTACTTTCAACTTTCCTGTACCCTGTTTTCTAGTTGGATTCTGTCTTTTATCCAGTCTAACAACTTGTCTTTTAACTGCAGAATTGAGTCAATTTATATTTAACATAATTACTGCTGTATTTTGAATTATATACATATCACCTATTGTTTCCTATTTGTTCTACCTATGTTCTTTAAATTCTTTTTTGTATTCTTTATAATTAAATACTTTTCTTATTACATTTTTTCTCTTTAAGTTTGATAGTAATACATTATTTTACTATTAAGTAGTACTCTAAATATTGTAATATACATCAAAGACTCCCTATAATCAAAATAAATTAGTACTTTTATCACCTCTCAGACAATGCTAGAACTGAAATTGGTATTATTTTGTTTACTTCCTCCCACCTTTTTTTATTATTGACATGCATCTTATCATTCATATGTTTTAAGGCTTGCAAGATATTTTCATTTTTCTATTATGCAGTCAAGATTCATTCAGACTCACTGACATATATATCTTGTGCACTGCTCTTTGTTTCTTCTTCCATTTCGACATTTTCTTCTGAGGTCACTTTTCTTCCACCCAAATAACTCCCCTTGATGTTTCTTTTATGTTGGATATGCTGTTGATAAGTTCTCTCAGTTTTTGTTTTCCTTTAGTTATTTTCATGTTCAATTTTCAAGGATATTTTCACTGAGCAGAGAATACTAGACTGGCAGTTATTTTCTTTCAGTTTTTAAAAGATGTCATTCCATTGTCTTTTGAGCTCCATCATTTCATTGTGAAGTCAGCTGTCAGTCTTATTCTGCTTCCTTGAAGTAGCCTGTCTTCACTTACAATTTTCTCTTTCATCTTCAGAAGTTTTACTGACGTGCCTAGGTGTGATTTTTCTTTCCATGTATCCTGCCTGGAGTATGTATGGCTTAATATCTT